TGCTTAGTACTTGCGGTTCCCTTTTTTTTTTTTTTTACAATTGTCTAATTTAGCTGGGTATTTAAGTGCCAAGAACAAGATTGATTGGATAGGAACCATTGTTTGCAAGAATTAAAAATCTGATGGTGATTCCTAATTCTGATATCAGATCATATATAGGGAGCATTACCATTTGTGCAATAGCTGTAACAATTTTAACAAATTGTCCAACATTTTGGTTCTTTTTTTATATTTGATAGATTTTCACTATGTGGTGCTGTATCTTTTGAAGCTTTTTTTGTCTTGTAGATCCCTTTTGAGTCATAGTCTCATTTTCCTTATTCTTGAAATCTGGTTCCTGACTTTTCCATTTTTTTTCAGATTTTGCAAAGAAGCCTTTTAGCCATCCTATACCTTCTCAGGTTGGCATGACTTCCCAGTCATTTCACACGTATGGTTATCAGGGTACAAGCAAAACGATTGAGATCCCGAATGGAAGGGTATGTTTCCCCTTTGCTCTTGTGCTGTATTTTAGTTATGTCGTGAAACAAATATTTAACAAACATTCTTTTGCTGTATTACTTTTCTGGAGAATTTGGATATGTATCTTGTGAGTTTTTATTAGGTTGGCGTAGTCATTGGCAAAAGTGGAGAGACAATTAAATATCTTCAGCTTCAATCGGGAGCAAAGATTCAAGTTACTAGAGATTTGGATGCAGATCCTAATTCACAGACTAGATCGGTAGAACTTGTTGGTACCTCTGAACAGATTAGCAAGGCTGAGCAGTTAATAAATGATGTGCTTGCTGAGGTACTATTTGAATGTATTTTACAGGCAGAACAATTCGTATGGTTATTAGCTGTTGCATTTTCTTGTTGTCATTGTCTCTTTTATGAAATTTCTATTCTAGGCTGATGCTGGGGCTTCTGGCATCAATTCAACTCGTAAACATGGCAGTGTTCAACCTGGTGCTGAGCAATTTCAGATGAAAGTTCCAAACAACAAGGTAAGTTGGCATTGGATAAGACATTTTGTTAGAGCTGTCTCTTTGATTTGATTCTGCAAGTTTAATTTTCCATTTCAGGTTGGTCTGGTGATTGGCAAAGGTGGTGAGACCATAAAAAATATGCAAGCTAGATCTGGTGCACGTATCCAGGTTGCACTTGTTTTGTTGTCTTGGTTAATAGTTTGCCTTTCAATGTTATCATCCTTGTTCCAACCACATCTTCTATGTTGTGAATTTGCACTACCAAATAATTTAGTTTTACCATATATTTGTTGTTAAATATGTCCACTAGTTTAGTGGAAATGGGTTCTTAATTTTAAATCCAAAGCAGATAGATTAGATTAGTTGTTGGTTGGCTTTTAGGAAATGCTTATATTGCCAATTGTTTAGTCGTGGAACTTGTAGGAACTTCTGCTGGATTAATTTAGTCTCTTTTAAGCACATGTTTCTCACGTTCAATTAACAAATTTTGAAGTTATTATAGTGCAAACTTGTCTTTTCACAAAATGTAATTGCATTTGCTCCTGAGTGGCCCTAGTTATTTGTACATCTCTGGCATGCTTATCAAGAAATATTTGTTGGTGCCCTTGTAACTTCTTAATGGTTGATAATCTTATCTCTATACGTTTTGTGTTATTTAGGGGTCTAAGCTGTTTGAACTATATTCTCCTGAGCATCTGGCACCGTTATAAAGGAACACTTGAGTTTCCGTATTGCCCTATTTTTATATAAGTGACTAATGATTTCTAGCATGATTGTGTATCCGATGTCTGGGTTCTTTTTATGTAAATAAGGTTGAGCTAATGGCTTTGCCCTTTTGATGTTTGCTATTGATGTAATAAAACCGATGAATTTGATTGTACATGATAGCATTGTATACCTGTGTGATGATTGTACTAAATCTGATGCATTTGGTTGTGTAGGTGATGCCTTTGCATCTATCACCTGGTGATACATCAACTGAAAGAACAGTGTATATAGATGGGACAAATGAGCAGATTGAATCAGCAAGACAATTGGTCAATGAAGTTATTAGTGAGGTATCGATTATCTAGAAATTACTTTTTCTATAGTAAATAACTTAGATGGCTGGATATGAGTTTCCAGGACTACTTTGCTACTAGTTGAATTTCTGTTTGTATGTTTTATCATGTACCGTCCCTTCCAATAAATTTTTTTCTTACCTGTGGCACTATAAATTGCTTTTGAGACTACTTTAGATTTGTTGACTTCTATGTTAGTCCATCAGATTCTCATATGAGGAGAGGATAGGTTGGAATTGTTTTTCCTGTTGTAGTAAATTGGCAGTGAGTTTCCCCTTTCATTCAGTATGCTTCTTTTATTCAATACCTTGGTTTGTTATTGCCTTCATTTATTATACTTTGGTTAAAACCTTTGTTATGGTTCACAAAATTCTCTTTTTTGTGCTATATGCATTGCAAGAGCTGCATAAATTAATCAAGTATATATGCAGAATCGTATGAGGAATACAGCTATGTCTGGAGGGTATCCTCAGCAAGGTTACCATCCACCTCGTCCTTCGACAAGTTGGGGTCTGCCTGGTGCACCTCCCATGCAGCCGCCTGGTTATGGTTACATGCCTCCTGGATCTTATCCTGGGCCACCACCTCAGTCTAATATGCCCCAGCCACCTTATGGTGGCTACCCCACACCTGCATCGACAGGTTTCTCTTCTGGGTGGAACCAAACACCCAATCAGCCTACTCAGCAAACTGCACCAGGAGCTGGATATGATTATTACAATCAACAATCACAGCAGCAGCAGCAGCGACAACAGCCTCTTGGGGGATCTTCTGCGCTTGCGGATAGCACAAGTTACAACTATGGACAGCCTCCTCCTGATTACAACAATCAAGTGTCCTATGGTGATGCTGCTTACTCCCAGGCTTCTATGGGGCAACAAGGTTATGTGCAGGATGGATACTCCAGTGTCTATAATTGTTCCGCATCTCAACCTGGTTATTATCAGCCTACGTTGGACCCCCAAAATGGATTTGATCAACAGGGCTATGGTTCAGCTTTTGGCTATGGAACGGTGGCTAATCCATGTGAAGATGGATCCGCCTCTGCTTACAGTGCTGAGGGTGGGTCTACTCAAGCACCTCCAACTCAACAAGCCCCTTCAAGTCAGCCTTCTGCTACCCAAGGGTACACAGGTCAACCACCACAAACACCAATTAGTACCACTGCAAGTTATCCTACCCAAGGAACAGCACCATCTGGATATGGTATTCCCCCAACATCACAGCTAGGACATGGTAGTCAGATCCCTACTATGGCTGGATATGGCCAAGTACCATCTCCTAGTTATGGGCAGCCTTCTCGGGTCCAGGACCCGCCAGGTACTCAGGGTGTTTATCAACAAGGTCAACAGACTGTGTCTACTGAAGCTGGCTGTGTGCAGAGTGCTCCCGTGCAACCAGGATATAAACAAGCTCCATCATCTCAAGCTGGTTATGGGCAACAACAAACCTATGGCATGTCACCGCATAACCAACCAGGTTATGGTCCACAACAGCAGCAACCATACAGCGATTCTTATGTTGGTGATGTCCATTCACAGCCTCCTGCATACTCTAATGACAATGCTGCACAAGGGGCCTATGATGCATCTACTGCTCCACCTGCTGTTTCAAGTGGTGCAGCAATAACTAAGTCACCCACAACTTGATATTGCCTGGTAAGTCCTCTGCAGGAGTTTAGCCGTTGTGGACCGTTTTATCATTTTGCTTATTTCTTATCTAAGACTCGATTATAATGGCACTTTGGACTTAGTGCTTAAGAGTTTTTTGATGTCTTGTTGTAATGTAGATTATCAGAATGCTGGTAAGTTTGCTGTTTGTATCTTTTTTCTTTAGTTATGAATGTGGAGAATGATCTAAGAGCATGGGTTTTTACCTGTTATTATATGATCCAAGTTACCTTCTTTTAGATGCTTGCAAATTGAACAGAAGGCGATATGCCTTGTGTTTTAGTGTCTTGGGAATGAAGTATTCCTGAGAGTGGGCTGTTAATTGACTGGAGCATAGCTCTTGTTTGACTTCTGGCAAGTTGTAGATGCAACCTTAAGATTGCATTCTGAAGCTGTCATGCTCTGACACACTACCAAGATGGTTTTTCTATATTACGTGTGGAGTAGGTTTGTCTGGGTCAGTGAGAGGTTGATAAAAGCTGATCCTGCTATTATATTCTTTTTGTTGTGATTGGATCTTTTATGTATATTTTTTATGTTGTTGTTGCTCACTTTGCATTCCATTTGGTGAACAATATCTGAATGGTAATGGGATTTTGTTTCACCCAGGGTTATCGGGACTTTCACTGGTATTCATGTGTCTTGGACCCTCGTTGGAGATTGAAGTGCTATCTGCCCAAGAAAGGCAATGTTCTGGTTAATCAAACAGAAATTTGTTCTGGTTAATCAAACAGACATTCCTGGTCGCTGTGATGCTGGATAGATTGAACAGAACTTGAGAAATGCCAGAATCAAATCTTCGAAGAATGCTGATGCTGCTTATTGTTGGATTCTTCTTGCCTGGTTCTGTATTGGTGAGGTTGTTGGGGGTCCTCCGCACCAATTTGATGCTGAACCCTATCAAACCAACCCTCTGCGTTTGTCATGTGGGTTGCCCAAGGTGGTTTCCTTCCCTGTTCAGGAGTCTGCCCACTATAATTTTATTGTTCCAGCCCCAGTTTAGTTTGGAAATGGAAATTCCTAAATTTTCTCATGTTACTGCTGTCACGTAAGTTGGTCTCTCGATGCATGAGCTCTCGTTCGCCCACAAGATGATGCAGGCCACGAGATTCTCTTGCTATCATATGCATCATCCTAGAAACATTTGGCACGAATAATGATGTGAGAACAAGTGGGGCTTCAAACTTTGGGGGCTCCATCAGATGTTGAGCAAGTATACCGGAGGTCAGTTCTCCCTATAATAATCCCATTGTTATTGTGAGGCATTGTCATTGCAGTCAATTTAAGAGATCAGGCATTACTTGTCTTGAACTGTTGCAAGTAGTAATTAGTGTTGCCATCATGACATTTTCTATAAAGCTCGTAGTGTTGGTAACTCATAGCAAGTAAGATCTCTCATCTGCTTACTTGTCTTGAACTGTTGGAAGTAATAACTCCTGCCTTTCCTCTTGGAAGAACAGGCAAGCGGCAGTACAATCATCTACCTTTGCCGACGGAAACTTGGACTTCCACGCGTTACGTGCTGCTTCCACCAACGTCTTCGATGCATCCTCGTTGGTCTCGGTGGACCAAACAATCGACACCACCTCCTCGTTGCTAAGCGCATCCCACACCTTCAACACACGAAGCCTTCCATCAAGCAGAGACCACGGAGAAAAGAAAACAGTGATCAAGCTTCTCACCCCGTCGGTCGCGAGGACTATGAGCATATCTCTGCTCGTCACACGGCGATGAGCCACCTGAGGGACCGAGATGATGCCGTAGTTCTTAAGCTGGAAGTCCCCGAGAGCGCGGGCCATGGCGAGCCCGGGGAAGTCCTCGTCGGGCAACCACACGCGTTGGATGTGCGGCTCTCTCTCGAGCGCGAACACCCGCCCGTTGCTCTTCCTTATCCTCTCTGTTTCCTCTGCATCGTGGAATCCACAGCGGATCAGTACAACGTTCACTGGGATCATCCAACCTTCACAAACAACAACAGTTCTTACGAGGTACGCTGGGCTTCAGGTCTGTCGTCAGCTGAATCGCCTCGAGGTGACCCTCCTCTGATACGGTTCCCATGACAGCCCTCGAGTCGCCAAGGTTGGCAATGATCAGATCTTCCCCCTGTGACGGAAGGTGATTCATGATCGAAGATGAGGTATCCCAACACAAGAAATGCTTTGGAGTCGTGCTGTACCTGCTTGATGACGGAGACTGCTGTGGTTCCACTGAAGGAGCAATCTAAGTTTGGCCTCACCTTGAGTTCTTCGTCCATGGTTTTGAAGGCGTTGATGCAAGCCTCTTTCCACTCATCAAGCACCTCCTCGCCATCCGTTGAGCTCGTGTCAGTGCTATCGGTGAATCCGTCGTCTTCCTGGGAGAGCAGGAGGGCGTTGCGTTCGCCAAGCAACAAGGCATGCAGGTAATCTCTGACCACCCTGCTCACAGTATGCCCACTTGTACCATGGCCATCAAATACCCCACAAAACAACCCCTCCTCTGTTCCATATCCCTTCACAGGAAGAAAAAGAAAACATATAAAGAGTTGGTCTTCATATACCAGAGACCTCGATAAATTGTGAGCTTGGAGGAAGCAACCACATACCTTGCAAAGGATGGCAGCATCCTGGTTCAGACCTTTGTTCCCTCGATGAGAGTACAGGGAGGCAATCCTCCTCTTCTCATCAGGACTCAACCCATCATCACCTCGCTCCACACATACTTGTATCTCCTCTTCACACTCCTTTCTCTCTGAAGATGCCTGATTCTTCAAAGATGCAGAAGAGAAGCAGCTCCCCATGTGTCTGATCTCTTCTCACCACAACTTTAGAAAGCTTATAAGGATTTAAATACAGCCTCCCTTTCTTTCTGAGACTACATATATGGCAGGCCCACCAAAAACTATTGCTTATAGCGACTGGAAAGTTGACTTCAGGATGATTCATTGGATCCCCTCCCGATCCTCGACTCTTACGTGTATGTGTCGAAAATGTAGCCCTCTAATGTTATTTTGGGTCATAATCACAGTCACTGATCTCATTGTGTGGAGAAATGGGGGATGATACTGCCTCAACCTAAACTAATTATGTGCATATAGGTAGGAAGATACATAGATAATTCAACACGAAGGTTTTATATGAGAAGTCAACGTCTCAAACATGAAGATGCATAGCTATATTTAACTTCGATGGGGCCAAAATACCCTTTTGCTAATGATTCAACATATCAAGATTCTTTTAATCAGGTGTCCCCAGCTCCCCAGCTATAAGAGAAGGCAAATGAAGCATGTAGTATTATTATATGATCCAACAGTTCAACTCTCTCCGGTTGCTGACTGTGTTCCATCTTGGATGCTGCAGATGGATGATCGACTTATCAGCAGAGGATTCAGAGGATCTGAAGGCAAGTGGCTTCGTCACCCATGCAAGGTCAGAATCTTCGTTGACCGGAATATCCAAATCCCTCTTAAGGCTCTTACAGTTGACCAACCGTGCCAAGAACCCAATGGGAACGATGGCTGAGAGAGGCAGAGAAGCTGTTGAAGCAAATCCGCGTGTGCTCTGAGGGAAGCAAACGATTTGTAGACGGCACCACAAGCCGAATGATGAAGTAGCACAGCGGATGGCAGTAAGCACCTGACACTTGGCCTCGTCAATGGATATAATATTATTATGGCTTGCCGTCTCAGATTCTATTTGTCCCTCTAGAATTTAGTATAGCATATACATATCACTTCATAATAATGAATTGGAGTTTCAACATTATGCTAACTGTCAATTAACAAATACTAACAACTCTCAATTGTCATTATAGTCAATTTACAACTACAATGGCATTTATGCAAGCTTTTATTTTATGTTATATATATATAGAGAGAGAGAGAGAGAGAGAGAGTATATTTTCTGTCTAAATTTTAGAATTTGATTTACTATTTAGCTATTTGAGTGTGGATCCAAATAATAAGGTAGACTTCGTACCTATTAGTTCAAAGTTGATCGTTAATTTAAATTTTGGAGACAATTCAACTTGATCGGTGATTTGGGATCTCAACATGCTCAAAGAATCATCTGTAGGTTTTGTATGGGTTTGTATCATTGACGTGGCATATCGAGGTTGGTGGTTCCGAAGGGGTCCATCATACCCCCCCCCCTATCTTCGTTGATCGGTGGGGATGATTGTAATATCAAATGACAGTGATGAATCGATTACGATGGAGAGAATCGAACGGTCCAATTCCTTGTAAAGCCCGCACCGGTTCGGTCTGCCTCGGCCGGTCTAATTACTCGTCAGTTACGAGAAACCAACGGACGAGATCTCCTCGTGGTGCATCGGACCGCAGACAAATCCCTCGCGTAGAAACTTCGATTCGGATACGTACTTGATCCGAGACCCATTCCGTCTCGCGTTTCCCTGAGACCTTTCTACGACAACCAAACTCTCGTTACCTGCCATCTCATTGGAATTCGAGTGGGACCCAGAGAGAAGGCAGGCATGTGAGACAGCGTAGTCCGGAACGGGTAGGGCAAACGTCTTCGTTAGTTGCATAACTGCGGTGGGACCCAGCAAGAAGGCAAGTATGTGGGAGAGCGCAGTCGGGAAGGGGTAGGAACGAGTGTATTTTGTTACTTGCATACTTGCGTAGGTTTCCTGTACTCTCTTTCCGTATATATTATTTTGATTCCTTCGTATCTGGCGCCCGCCAAGGCATTCCGAAACCTTCTCCGATTCCCCCGTTCTCTCCCTCTTGCTCTGCCCCAACTCGCCCTTCTCCGATCCACAAACCCTAACACCTCTTCCGCCGTTCACTGTCGAACCATGCGTGGATTGATCGGCTTCATCGACCTTCTTCGGCCGACCGCGTCTCCTCGGCCCGGACTCTGATTTCTTCCTCCCAACGGTAAGTTTTCCGATCGCTTCCTTTCATCCAGGAAACCTTAACTGTATTGGATTCTCGTGATGTCTTCGCTGCCCATCTAGGTTTGTAACAACCGCAAATAATTGTTGTTTTAATCGGCCAGGCCCTTATCTTCTTCGTCAGATGTTTCTTTACCCCTCGATTCGTATTGATCGACTTGTGCTTGATGGAGTCCTCGGTTTTGGGCATATTAATTTAATGTGGTTTTGTTCTGGGATGCGTTTTTTGGAGTCATATAAAATCATGACGAGAAACCGAGATGATCTATAATTTAGGGATCGATAGGATGAAGAATGCAGAAACAAACTCATTATGTTATCTGAAAAAGTAACTTCTGCGGTTAAGTTGTTCTGTTAATCTGTTTATTTGCTGTTGTGGTCCCTATGCTTTATACTTCTGAAATGTATATTTAAATGGTGTAACTCGAATAGTGTACGTTAAAAGCAGAAATTGATAATTAATTCAACTTAACCCACACCTCACCTGCTCAAAGGTTTTGTAATGCTTGAGTTGCAATACGATTCTGCCCACCTGAAACTCGCCTGAATCATTTTGCTAGGCTGACCCTTCACCATCCATGTCTTTATTCTTCTATTTCTTGGTTCTAGAGAAACTTTAGATCCATCTCACACTTTGTCCTAAATACATAAGAGGTCTGGAGTCTAAGATTGTTTTCTCTTGTGAAGTTCAGGGTGCTGTACAGGAACTTAAAATGGTAAAGAAAGGGGCGTCTTCAAGTAGCTAGATGATTTTGAGGCTTGTTGATATTTAATTCGAAAGATGTCTGAACCATGACCCATGGCCTGAATCTTGAGCTACAACTTAGGAATCCATCAGGACCTAAGGGCAATCAGCATTTTGGATCTACTTCCAAGTCCTATTATACCTGAGTTTATTCTGATTTAGTTGTAACATTGGACTTGTTTTTGTAGTCAAGCTACATAAAATAATTCTGATCCGCAAAAAAAAAAAAAATCATAATACTGAAAATTGGAAAATGTGTGCTAAGATCAGTACATATATGACAGGATTAGCTTGTTCTTGGGATGCATTTTGCTGAATCTGGAACTAGTGATGATCAAATGTGTCATGTTTCACTTCCAGGGATGGTATGCATAATCTTTCTTGCTTAATATTAGATCTTGAGTGTTAGACTATGTAATTTGGCTTGACTGTCGGCCTTATTGTCGTTCAGTTGGTATGATTGTACCTGAGGTGGCCAATCTGTTTTTATCTATAGAATGCAGAATCTCATAACATTTAGTTGTTCTATTTATGCACAACTATTGTTTTGTTGTCTTCTGTGTTATTTCAGTTTGCAGTACCCATTTTGTGAAAAAGCTAGTCTTTGCAGGTGAGTTGATGCATCACCTCCATGTGCTGCAGATGCATTGTCACATTCCGGATTTATAAAAAAAATAATAATTTAGTATTTTATTATCCATAATTTACATAATAAACTTTCTTATTTTCTTTTTATTCGTTTTTGAATTCAAATCCTTGTCTTTACAGTAATAAATATTCTATTAACTGAAAAAATGATAACATCTTCTTGGTAGGATCATAAGTCTCTTTCACCCAAGCTTCAGATCTATTACATAGTAGTAGATTACTCTGAAAATAAATATAAAATAAAAACATATCAGCAGCCACACATGTTGGTAGGAACCTCGGAAAAATCATAAAAATAATCTTCAATATTCATTAAATATAAATAAATATCAATAATTCAATAAGAAAATATATTTATTCATCATAAAACTCATGCACAAGAAAGACGATGATAATTTCTTACATAATAAACAAAATCATGCATCAGCCATAAGCAACACATACATAATAATCATATAACAAAGGCGAACATCACACCCGATGGTGCACTCTCCCAACAGCGGATGAAGAGGCATACTCCACAGGATTAATTTCTCCCAACAGCGGATGAAGATAATCCATATTGCACTCCCAACAGCGGATAGAGTGGTATCCATCACCCGCCCAAGTGGGGACACGTTCCTACCAACAACGGATGGAGGAATCGCCCAAGTGGTATCCATCACATCTGACAGCCCGCTAATCCCCGAAGGGAATCGCCATACCTGCCTTCGGTAGGGATACATAAACATTCATGATCATTCATTTACACTCATCCATTCACTCACATATGTATCAAGAAATCAATATGATTAAATATTATGAGAGGCCATACTTGATGTAAATCTACTAGACTATGTTCATTAGTAGCTTCGCACTGTGATGGACCCGTAACTCTTTTCACATGTTGCACTCCCAATATGAATAACTAGTCTAGTCACATCTATTACATAATCATATCAATATCATAAACATAAGAACATGTAAAACCAATAATCATTTTCAAATGACATCTTCAGATGAAACCTTTAAATTCATCAAATCATAAATGCATGAAACGTCAATCTCTCAATAGTCCTTAATCAACCAAAACCCTAATTGGAATAGCTCAATTAACTTAATCTAAACTCAATTCGATTATGATCTAATGGAACTAACCTCAAATCCTTATAGAACCGGTCTGGAATCACCATAAACTGGTCTTGGATAGGTCATATATATTGCATATACATATTCCACATGCAGTGCATATACTTGTTCCAAGTACTAGATTGAGTTGAGGTACGACGGGCTATATAAAAGGAGCGACGATATGTCTAATGCCAATCGTGTAGCTGGGCAGGCTTAACTTTATGAACTAGGCTAAGCCTCACTTATAAGTTGGGTTGAGCCTTGTCATCGAACTAGGCCTTGCTTGGCTCGCGAGTTAGTCTTAGACACATGAGTTTGGGTGGTATCTAACCACATGGATTGGGTCGTACCTAATCGTATGAGCTGGCCTGATGCCTGGCCACATAGTTGGGTCGTACCTTACCATATGAGTTGGGTCATACATGGCCACATGGACTGAATCGTACCTAGCCACATGAGCTGGCTCATACCTAGCTATATGGTTGGGTCGTACCTTACCACATGGGCTGGGTCATACATGGCCACATGGACTAGATCGTACCTAGCCACATGGGTTAGGTCATGCCTGACCACATGGGTTGGGTCATACCTTACCATATGGGCTAGCTCCTACCCGGCAACTTAGGTTGGGTCATGCCGAGTCATATGGGCTAGGTTGTACTTGGTCACATGAGCTACGTCATACATGACCATATGGGCTGAGTCGATTTGATCTGATCGATCAACTTGACTCAAGTCAGACCCCAATTAAACTCCTCTTATCAAATTAGATTTCAACATTTAAAATTATTAAAGAATGACTCAAATCCATTAATTAAAACTTTAAATTCATGATGTTAAATTTAAAACTAATTACATTATAGAAATTCACACATAATTCTTGAAACATAGATATATCTAATTAAATAAATTAGAACTACTATGTTAATCCAAAAATAAGAGTTTTAATAATTAAATCGATATTAAAATTCACTAAAGCTTAAGAGATCAAGATAAATCAAATAATCATTCTAACATCACAAAATAATTATCATTATTGATTAATCCTAAAATTTTAAAATTAAAACATCATTATGCATAAAAAATTATAACAATATCAACATCAAGATTTTAAAATATAGATTAAAGCTAGTTAAAAAAGAAAGGATCCTACCTCTCTTTGACTATCCCTTTCTCGATATCATCTCCTCAGAAATCCTCTCCTCAATCCTCCCATTGTTAGGCTTGGTGGGGAATGAGGGAGGAGTAGCCCCCTTTATATAGGAGAAGATGGGATCTCCCCGAAAGATAAGTAATAATTTAATTTTTATTTTTAATTTATTTATTTTTTACTTTCACACAT